GGACTCAAAAGCATATGTCGGTTGCTAACAGCACTTTGTAGTTGGTGTTGGAAAGGGCAGGGTAGCTGTGAACACGGTTTCCTAGATGAAGAAAGGAGGCCAGGGGCAGCAGCTACCTCACCCAGGGTCAGGATGGGCCACCCCGCTGGGCCGAGACCAAGGTCTTCTTACTGCTCATTGTGTGATGTGGTAAACTGGACCTTCTGCGGTCTGGGTCTTCACTTTTGAGCAACAGAGCTGACTCGGAACCAGAATGGGGAAGTCCTGTCTAGCCTACCATATAGACTTGAGGGGCCCTAAAGAGATCAGCTGCCTATGGGCCACTTCACATTACTCATTTCCAAGGAGAGTCTTGTTGGAAGCTCTCAGTAATGGCTGCATTTGGTCTTTGCTTTCCCCAGCTCTACCCATCCGTCTCTCTGTATTGTGACTTCCCCCACCCCTCTGCCCTTTGTGATTGTCCCATAACTCCTTGTTCTTTAATGTACCAGGCAGTCATTGAGTGCTTACTCTCTGCCAGGCCCTGTGCTCTAGAAAGATAAAGAGAATAGTTCTTGCTTTAGAGGGCTTCCAATCTAGTAGGCAGAGCTGAACGTCAAAAATAAATGCAACACAGGGTTTTATGTGCTGTAATCATGAGAGCTCAGAGGAAGATGTTCTTGGCACTGAGTACTGAATGGTGTAACTTAGCCAAGATACCTTCTCTAGGGTCAGCTTCCTGGAAGAAGCAGCCCAGAGTCAATAAAACAGCTTAGGCTTGTATATCGTGCAGGGCTGCCATGAGCAGTGGCCAGATTGTCCCTGCACACGGGTGCTCATCTGAGAGGGGATGGAGGCTGGAATCCAGCCACTTTGCTCACTAGAGCTGTGCACCCAGGCGAGGAGGACCTCTGTCTGCCCAGAGGAGAGGCATGATTTTCTAATTCTGACAAAGGTGTCATCTGGGCTGACACTGGCTCTGCTACCATTTTATGGCTATAAAGCTTTTTCACGTGGTATCTTATTTGATCCTCTCAGCAGCCACAGGCAGTATGGCAAAGGATGGGCATACTCTGGCCCAGAGAAGTTCAGTGACTTGCTGAGGGCCACAAGGCCAGTAAGTTGACAGAGCCAGGATATCTGTGCTTCCCTTTTCTCCCTTGTGTTATGTTATCCGGCGTGGAAGGGAGCAGAGTGTTGGGACACTGCTGGATCCCCTTGCCCTGCTGCACAGCTCTCTGCAGCTAATGAATTGCTAATACAATTTTCTAGATAATTTTATTTTCATAGTCCCACATTTTAATGTGTTTCCAGAGCTAGCATTTATTTGCTTAATCTCCCAGTGTAATAGAATCTACCCTGACTCATCATACATGCAGACAATCAGCTAGGCAGAAACTATAGCAAATTGTCTAATAGCTCAGATCTAGTCTTGACATTTTTAACTTGCATGTACTGATAGCTTTTCCTGTGTCTCATCCACTTCTCTCTAGCCCTTCTTTTTTCTTAAAATCTCTTTCCATTCTTTCAGCTGTTAGTATCCAAACACAAGAATGGACAGAGTGGATGCAGGGCCTCAGAGCCCCCTTGTCTTTGTCTCTGAGCCTATGTCAGTGTATTGTGGCCAGAGAGAGAGAGAGCCCCTGAGCTTTGTTAGATGTCCCAGGAAGGGGAGAGAGACCATGGGAGGAACTTTGTTGCATTTTCTTTCTAGGTGGTGGCTGTATAATCTTAAACCTGTCACCAAGGTGCAGAGTTAGCTGTCTGGGACTTCAGGTGTAAGGTGCGTCCCAGCTCAGGCCCAAACCCCAGGTGCTGCTGTCACCTTCTTGGATTTCATTCTTTGACTCCTCCTGTCCTTTGCAGCTCCTACCCTAGTCTGGTTCCCACCCTCCTCTAGTGGTAGCACAAAAGCCATCAGCTCTCTTTCTGCTTCCAGCCACTACCACATGCTGCCCCCAGGATAATTGCCTTCACATACCATACCGGTCGACACCCCATCTCTTTGTGGCACTGTGTTGCCTGTAGAATGAAGGGTAATCTGTCCTACCTGGCAATACAGCCCTCTGGGATCTGACCCATAGTAACCGTCCCTTCTTATCGCTCTCCTCAGGGCCTGCCCTCTGCCTCAGCCTGTTCTGAAATTTGATTGCAATGTTTCCTTAGCTTGGCTCCTGTGCCCCACCTCCTAGTCTTTGCTTCTCAGTACTCTTCCTTTTTCATAGCCATTGAGAGAAATCTCCCAGAATCTCCTCCAAAGCCTCTTGAAGTCATCCTGTCTTGCCCTCTGGCTGGTTGTTGGCTTGGTGTCCCCCCATAGTCTGGTACCCTGTTTTTCCAGTTGATCTCAGCATATCCTCTGCTACCTAGCAGAGTATCTACACTTGGTAATAGTGATTGAGTCAGCTGAATGGCCCTGAAGTGGGGTCAGGCCATCCAGAGAAGGACAGGTGGCATAGGGGGCAGATTCTAGGGGCCTTGGGAAGGCCAAGGGGGCCGAGTGCCACAGGAGTCTCAGTCTGTCCTGCCAGGTGGTACTGACCCTCAGAGCTCCTGTGGGCCCGGCTTTTTAGACTCAGGGTATTCTGTGGGAATGTCATTCATGTTCCCTCTGACCCAGGCTGCGTCCAGCCTGGAAATTTCAAATGATGCATGAAAGCAACTTGGCCATGCCTTACCCAGGAAGCCTGGTCCATCTTACCAATTTAAAGCAGCTATTTGACATCTGGCTTAATCAGGGTTCTCTTTGGGGTGATGTTACAGGCAGATAGGAGGCCAATGCTGGGGGCCCTTGGAATGAAGCGGCCAGGGCTGCCGTGTCACAGAACATGTGGCAGATGGACTCCACTCCTTGGCATATTGGCCAGAACGGACTGGATTTGGGGGACTCGTTGCTAGCCGTTGGCCTGCTTCTGCCTGGATAGACTCCTCCCCTTGGTGCGCTCTTCGATCAAGTGGAGCTGAGTGCCTCAGCACCTCCCCGAGATCTTGCTGACCTCCAGGGGTTTGGAAGCCTTCAGAGAGCTAGCCTGGGATTCTGCCGCCAGTCCCCTCCTCCAGCTCAGGTTCTCTAAGAATTGCCGGAGGGAGGCCTGGATGCACTGGAGCTCGCTTGCTTTGTGGTGTTACTTTGCTTTTCCAGGGGAAGCCCAGGCAATGGGTGGTAGCCCCAGAGACGGACACGGGCCCAGCTGTGTGGTTTCTGACACTAGATAGATTTAGGCATTTTCAAACCTCAGTTCTGCCTTTCTCACTGTGTGACCTTATGGAAGTCATTTAACCTTTTTTCCCTTTTGTAAAAAGAGGAATGAGAATGGCTATCTTGAAGGGTAGCCAGTTTTAAATGAGAGAGCAACATAGATAAAGCACCTAGCATAGCACCTGTATCAGTTTTCTTCTCTTTTGCTCTTTGAGTCCAGGAGCAAAACTGTGTCCTTTCTTGTACTGTCTCCTTGCACGATCTTCCCTAATCCAGGATGCAGGCAGCATGGATTGAGCATGATCTTACGGATGTCTACACAGGCGGCTGTGAGGGCTGGAGGAATGGGGGGAGTGAGAGGTCTTGCCTTCCCACTGATCCATCCCCAAACCAGCCATGAAAGGATCTGAGGTGGGGAGAACGGACCTCCCACTTGCCATCTCCACTGGTAGACCAGAGAGGCAGTCAGGCTCTTCATGCTGCCCTCCTCTTCACCCTGCTCTCCTCCAGGAGCTCCCTGATTCCACACTGAGCAGCCACTGCTCTACCCCTTCCCCATCTCCGGGCTGGGTTGACAGATGCCAGCAAAGAGAGTTGAGCAGACGGGCTTCCTAGGGCAGCTGACACGCTATGGAAACCATCCTAAGTAGCAGGTTCAGGTGCTTCCTCACGTGGTGCTGTACCCAGAAAGGCCATGACTGCAGAGCAGCGTTGGACAGCAGGTTCACAAACAGAAAATGGCAGCCTGTCTTTGAAGGGTACCATAGGGTACCCACCTAACTGCCTGCGCTTCAGATCAGCACAGGGAATGACTGAACTGAATTAAATGAAAATCTGATGTTACTCAGCTTAATTTTTCTTGAAAATTGTCCTTTGGTCTTGGAATGAAACCTAAAGCTCTTCATATGGTTTTAAGACCCCACACGACCTGGCCCTGCATACTTCTTTGGCTTTCCCCTCTGCTCTCTGCTTGCCTCCCATGCTGCACTGTTCCCTGTCTGATCCTCCAACCTGTCATATTTCTCTCCCGCCTGAGTGTTTGCAGCTACTATTTCCTCTTCCAGGAACACTCTTCCCCACTCACAGAGTGTGCTAGGTGACATCTGTGATGAGAGCAGGGTCCTACGTGTAGAAAGTACTAAAATAATACTTGTTGATTGAATGGACCCTTAAGAATGTGTGCTTTAATGAATGGAGAAACGGCTAAAAGAATAGGGTCCGAAAGAACTAGCATGAGGAGGGGACTCGCATCCAGGCTGCCGGGGGCGGAGTGGGGGGTGTGCATCCCAGCTCTGCTGCTTAGGAACTCACGGAACTTTGGATGAGTTGCTCCATCTCTCCGTGCCTGGTTTTTCTTATCTGAAGGGTGAGGATGTAGAGTGAGTTATGTTAGAACAATAGCTGGCAGATGTTATCTCTGTTATTGTTATTCCTCACAGAGACCACACTGACATCCCACCTTCTCCCCCAGACTCTGAAAAGTCCGTCTGATACATGCCGTTTTAGAACCATGCCTTTGACACAGCACTCCATACAGTTACCACCTCACATTTGCTGCTGTGGTGTGTTGGATGAATACCTCTCTTTCTACCACTAGACTCTAGGTTTCACAGGACAAGAAGTGAGTTGGTTTTGTCCACCACTGGATCATATACTAGGGGCCCCATCAACATTGCATGTCTTAGGCTGCCTCTGGGTTTGCCCCTGAGCATGGGAGCTTGGGAGCCCAAGGCCTGGTTCTGGCTCTTGCTCCAGCCTGGATGGGTAAAGAATGGCCCTGCGTTCCAGCTGCCTGAGGTCTCTGCATTCCTGTCTCCCACAGGCACGGACATGGCTGTCTTCTGTCTGCTGTGTGGGAAGCGTTTCCAGGCGCAGAGTGCACTCCAGCAGCACATGGAGGTCCACGCGGGTGTGCGTAGCTACATCTGCAGTGAGTGCAACCGCACTTTCCCCAGCCACACCGCCCTCAAACGCCACCTTCGCTCACACACAGGTAGGCCAGCCAGGTGATGGGTGGATCAGGGTCCCTGGGAACCAATGGCTGGATTTACCTCCAAAAACAGGAGGTCCTGTGCAAAATAAGCCTTCTGTCCTTCTTGCTCAAGGGTGAGGCTGGGTTGGGGGATTCATTGCACAGGTAAATGTTGATAGTTCTCCCCATCTCACCATGTGGAACTTGAGTTCTCCATCTCTCTGTGCTCAACAGAGAGAGCACTCATTAGAAATGAAGTCTTGGGGCCCACCTCAGAAACTTTGATACTGCATATGACATTGCATATGCAAGACTCCACGTTGTTAATAAATATTCCCAGAGAATTCTGAGGTGGGTGGGCCCAAATCTCATTTTGAGTAAAATCTACCTGCTTGGTGTCAACTTCTCTCTGCCACACACCCCTTCCCTCTCGCTGGCCCCTGTCCCATGGACATACGTTCCCGAAGTCAGCGCAAGCTCTTAAAGGAACTGTTGCAGAAGTGGTCCTAATTGCTTCACAGTAACAGAAGCACAATTTCTATATTGGGGCCTTAACCTTGTTTAGGGGCGTAAACAATGAGCCATGAAATATCCCCACTTAGCCAGTTCCAGATGACGGGGGAGGAGAGGGGTTGTGAGTCAGCGAGGCTAGGCCAGGTGCCACCACACCGACATGCAGATTTTGGGGATGGGACACTTGTCCGTGAGGGTCAAGAGGCACTTTTTCCTTGCAACTGCCCCTTGCCTCCTTGTAAAGGAATGGATGACTTAAATTCTTTCTTTTCTCTAAGACAAAATTGGGTCCTTGTCGACAGTACATGGGTAAAGGACTGCCCATTTCTGAGTCTGCATGTACCTCTGCTGTGTATTCTATCCTGGGTTTGGGGTGAGAGGCAGGGATGGGGCAGGGCCAGGGAGACAGACAGACAGATTCTGTATCTGGGCTCATGATAGGGTATATACTCATGTCTGTTAGAGAGGGCACAAAAAACTGTGCAGACAGGGATGGGTGGGTGGGTGGGCATTTTTTCTCTTCCTTTTTGAGTCTTGTCACAGCTCAGGGATTAAGTATGCAGGCCAGGCCTTTCATGGGTGGCTCTGCTGAACAAGGGAGGGGCTTTCTTTATCATAGTCTGAATGGGCCTATCTTGCCAGCAGTGAGCATCCCCACCAGGGAGCCTGCCTGATCTCTCCCTTCTGGATGCCACTCTATTCAGGGGAGCATATTGTCTTAGCATCACCAGTTTTACTGGGAACTAGTTAGAATTGCTGGCATAGGTCGGGGAAGGTCCCAAAGAGTAGGGCCCGACCAGAAGGGCAAAGGAGGACGGAATGCTGACAAGGACTTCCTCTATAGTGCCTCATAAGTATCCTTTGAAGGTATATGCACTTTCCCATCAACCTCTCCCCCGTCACGTCCCCAAATTCAGCCTTATCAAAGACCAGTCACTTTCAGCAATTTCTGAGGGTGCTGTGGGTCAAATCTCTTGGATTCCTGTGACTTGAATGATCCCAGTGCTGCTAAGTCTACCCAGGGTATGCCCTGCTCTGCCCAGGCCACCTTCACAGAGCTCAGCTATCAAAATGTCACATGCTTCTGTGTCAGCCATGGCTCAGATCTGTGGGAAGGAAGACATAGTTTGGGAGCAGCAGTTGCTTAATCTAGGAAACATGGAACGTGTGCCCTACCTATGCGCGCGCACACACTTATCGATTTCCACACCAGCGAGGCTCTGTAACACAAGCCATATACGGCTGAGCGCACCCCACACAATGCTTCATTAATATTCTGTTGTTCTTGGCCCATGGGCTGCTGGGGCCTGGTGTTTAGCATGGGCAGCTGTGTTTGGTAAGTTAGTCCAGTCGTGCTCTTGGCATTGATGGATCCCTGATTCACATGGCTCATCATGTAATAAACTCTCAGCTGTGCTGCATGGAGGGCCCTGAGGAGCCGATGGGGTGGGGCTGGCGTTGGGAGGGCGACACTGGGCCTGGCCGTTGGGAGGGAAATCACCAGGTAAAGACAGACCGCTGGGGTCACAGGTGTGCTGGGCAGGCCGGAGGGGGCTCTGAGTAGTCTCGTTTGTCCTGCACTTAATGTCAAGCTCATTAAAGAGGCTACAGAGTTAATCAACATAACACAAATTGGATTTTGAGTTCCACAGCCAGTTTTGTGTGCATTGTGGCAACACTGATACGATTAACTCTCAGGGTGAGGGTTTTGGACCAGGCACTTGCCGTGTTTCAAAAGCTGTGTGTGTGCGTGCACACATGTGTGTGCACGTGTATGTTTCTTCTAAGTTTTTCTTTTTTTTTTCCTCCCCTGGACTCACTCTGGCGGTTTCCTGTTTAAACTCATTTAACATGTGATCTGCTTTGTAATTCAATTATAAGAATCTGATCAAACAAACCTCTCTGTCTTAACCCTTTGTTTTTTAAACTCTTAGGGCTCTCCCCCACCCCCCAGAGGGAAAAGGCACAGCCGCTGTTTCCCCCTAGCCTGTGGCTGCTGATGTACATTTTAATTATGGGCTCTGGCTGAAGTCTCACATGGCCTTGCTTGCTTGCTTGCTTGCTTGCTTGCTTGCTTGCTTTATTTATTTATTTATTTATTTATTTATTTCTTAATGAGGATACTGAATCCTTGATTAAAGTCGTAATCGTTGCTGATTCAGTAAGGAGGGGGAGCTGGATGTCAGACGGGCTGTGTGCCTGGCCGTCTGTACAGAGTGGCATGCAGGCACAGACACACAGCTAATTAGGACCAGGGTCTGCGCGGGCCTCTCCTCCCCTTGGGTTGGGCGGGGCTGGCGGCTGGAGACAGCCAGTCTGCACAGCTCTGGCAGCAAGAGGACAGGCAGGTGCTGAGAATCCCAGATCTGCATGTGACGGACTCAGTGGACGTGGCTCAGCCAGGGCAGTGCCCCACGGATTGGTGAGAGGAGGCTCTGCTCTCTGAGCTTTTTCCTATCTGACTCCTCAGTGGAATTGCTGCTCTCCACCCCTCTATGCCCTCAGTGCTTCTTGCAAATCTTGCACCCATGAGAGAGCCCGCCAGTGGGCAGACCCCAGCATCCACTCCCCACAGAGCTGTAAAAACCCTTCAGAGCCATCTGAACAGATGAGAATTTATGTGGGTACAGCGGCCTGCATTCAAGAGGGGGGAGCATGGGGTACCAGCCTGAGAGAAGAGACTAAAATATCATTTTAAAGAGGAAGTGAAGGCACAGGCATGCGAGTCTATAACGAGAAGGACAATTTATGCCCAGGCACGAGCGCAGTTTGACATGGGGATAATGAAAAAACGTAGGTCATTGTGGATGACTTAAACCTTCAGCAGCTGAAGAAAATGTATGAAATGCAGAGGACATTACACGGTTGGCAGCCCCGCACATCTGCAGGGGGACAAGTGAAATACAGTGGGCCATTCTTTACCATAAACTGTGGTTGTTGGAGATGCAGCCCAGAGAAATTGTAATTACAGTGACAAGACGAATCAGCGATATTTAAATATTCATGAACAAAGTCTGGGGTGATCAATCTATCTTTATTGTCTGTGCCTTCACTCCTCTAATAAATAAGTAGCTGAAGTCTTCACCTTTTATCCCCCAAAGCCCCCTCTTTGGGTACAAAACGAAAAATGGTTAACCCCCACCCCAACCCAACCGCTCACCTTCCAGGGACATTGGAATGCATAGCAAGGAGGCGGATGGGCACAGAGTCCAGGCCGAGGAAATGCAGTTCTCCCCAAGTTTCATATACCCAGTGTTCCTGAGTGTCTGCTCTGGGTCATCCTTATGTTTTGTACTGAGGCTACGGGGATGAATGAAACTCCCTTTTTATCCTTGAGGTGCTTCCACTGAGAAGCATGGGGGCATGACAGTAGATACAGTATAGCCCATCCGTTAGCGATCTGAGTCGTTTCCAGTGTCCAGGCTCTGGAGCCAGACCAGATTCGGCTCCTTACTGCCTATTTGATCTTGGGGACCATGTTTAAGCATCTCGAAACATCTCATTTTTCTCATCTGTAAAATGAGAATAATAGTACTATCTTTCTTATAATACTGTTGCAGTGATTATGTGGTATGATCCATGTGACGTCCTTAGTACAGTAGTAAGCACTCAACAAAGATGTGGGCCATTTTAATGAGAAAGTGTCATAAAAATTATACTACTGCTAAAAGAACAAAATGCTGAACTTTTTTTCTCTTTGGGGACAGAGGAGAAAGTGTACCTCATTTTGCCTGGAAGACTAAAGAGATGCTTCAAAATGGGGTAATTTTTGAGCTGGGTCTTGAAGGATGACTAGGAGCTTGCTGGGAAGAGACAAAGAAATCAAGTAGAGAGAACAGCTGTGTAAAACTGGAAGCGGGAGAGAGCAGCAGGCACTTGGGGAATAATGTTCTTATTGTTCCCCAGATTGGAGGGACTTTTTAAGGGTGAGCTTGTGAGGCCAGAGTGATGTTTGCCCCTGACTGGAGGAAAGAAAGAGAAGGTCATCAGAAGCTGAGAGGCGAGGTCTCAGAGTCTCCAGGTCTGCTCTACCCTTGTGGGGGCCTGCTTTCTGGGGACAGCTGTTCATCGCCAAACCACATGGGCTCTCTTTTCCTAAGACTGGCCCTTGACCCCTGGATGACCACTGGACCACAGTAAAGTATAGACAAGTGTGAACATGTATACTCTCTGTTTATGCTGGGGGGCCAGCAGAGGCTGGGCATCCTTATGTCATTCTTGCAGGTGGTGAATGCAGTCTCATCCTCCTCGTGCACTAAACGTGCCCTGCTATCCCCTAAAGTGGGGGCAGGGGGGTAAGCAAGGGCCTGAACAAGCCCCTTGTCCCCACAGGCGACCACCCGTATGAGTGTGAGTTCTGTGGCAGCTGCTTCCGGGATGAAAGCACACTCAAGAGCCACAAACGCATCCACACGGGCGAGAAACCCTACGAGTGCAATGGCTGCGGCAAGAAGTTCAGCCTGAAGCACCAGCTGGAGACACACTATAGGGTGCATACAGGTACTGAGGGCCAGAGAGGACACCTGAGCTGGCACTGGAACCTGGGTGGGGGTGAGGGACAGATGGTTTCCCAGAGAAGCCCACATCTGAACCCAAGGGCAGAACAGGTTCTGTTAAGGGTTAGTATGTTGGCCTGAGTGCCACTGGCCCCTTGCAAGCCTGAGGAAGGCATTGCTAATCAATCACGGCCCACTTTCCATGAGCCCACACTAGTCCCCCAGGCAGCCATACCAATAGGTCACAGGTCATGCAAAATCATGTCTATTCGTGAATCCTGAACTAGGTTTACTCAGCTGAAAGTGAAGGTCAGGATAGTTCTTTATTTGACGGCTAGAGTGAGAATTAGAGGGCATTGAGTTAGGTTATGTTGGGGGTTACAGTTAGGTTCTGAGATCAGAGAAGCAGAAATATTTAATAAACCCTGTCAGTGTACAATGTTTTACCATTTCAAAGGGACTTCCCGTTCCTTCTTATGTAAAAGAAATATGAGCTACTGTCTTCCCTGGGGTCTGAGGACAGAACAAATGGAAGTGGTCCCGTTATATCCAGAACCGCCAGAGTTGAGGGCACTGGAATGCCGGAGCTGGACTGCACCTGCTTGTGGAAGCCAATTTTGCACATCTCTTTCCAGCTGCAAGTTCAGTGGCATCACCTTGGTTGCTTAACATTGGTCGTGGTGGGCATAGTCATAGCATGGCCATGGGCAAATACTGCAAACCCAGGCTTTTGGGGGAACCAGTTGTTACAGACTTTATCACCAGCACACCGCTGGTTGGGGAAGGGTAGATATTCAGAAGGACTTCCTCTGAGGATAAGAGGTAGTGGAAGGTAGTGGAATCTGGCAAACTCGGAAGCCTCCCCCGATGAAGGGAGAGAGCTGTCGTTTGCAGAGGAGGGGAGAGGGGGCATCTGTGGGAGGGGCGGGGTGGGCAGAGGGAACAGTACATGTTGTCATGGCTCTGCTTTCTTGCATCAGCCACAATGAGAAGATGGGGTGCTTGTTGCGGACCACTAAAGTGACCCAGAGGATTCCCCAGAGCCCTGGGGCTTCCTTAGCCCCTTGTCGGGGATGTGACCTGGCAGGTGGATCATTAAATGCATTGGCAGTGACTATTGTAAACAGCAGGTCAATAGTTAGATCACTTTGGCTGTTCATTACTTCATTATTTGCTGGGGCCTCTGCATGGAGGAGTATTGATAGCGAGATGGCTGGCCAGTTAATTACTGTATTGAAACAAGGTTCCCTCACACCCTCTGCTCAGCTCCAGGGGACTCTAACAGAGGGGAGGTCAGGTGACAGCTGGTGTGTAGCTGTGCATGCCCAGGTTTCCTTTCCCTCCCCCATTTTAGCCCCAGAGGGAAGGCGGGGTCCAGTGCTGATTAATAAGAGGTTGTGATGACTAGCAAGCTCCAGAGGCAGCATGTTTGAAGGACGGGGTTTCCTCAGGTTCACCCCACCTGTACTCCCCACTATCTGTAGCCCCATTCCCCTGGAAAGGACTGCTGAAGAGCCATCCCCAAGGAAGTTATAGGCCTTCAGCCCCTTTTCTAGACCTCCGTTTTCTTCCTTAGGAGAGAAAGGATCTGTGCTTCTGGGAGAGTTAAGAGGACTAGAACTGTGCTACAGACGCACAGCCTCTCGCTACATGTGGCATTTAGGTAGAGCAAAGTAAAATGAAAAACATAGTTCCCAGTCATGCTAGCCATAGTTCAAGCCACTCAACTGCCATTATGTGACTAGTGACTCCCCTGTTGGGTGATGGCATCTACCGCTGTGGAAAGTGCTGCACTGGAGGGATGATCTCTAGCAAGCCCACGGGTGGACTGAGGGCCCAGAGCATCCCTGTGGAGGCCCTCACAGCCTCTCCCTCTGTCCTCCTTCCACAGGTGAGAAGCCCTTTGAGTGTAAGCTGTGTCACCAGCGCTCCCGGGACTACTCGGCCATGATCAAGCACCTGAGGACGCACAATGGCGCCTCGCCCTACCAGTGCACCATCTGCACGGAGTACTGCCCCAGCCTCTCCTCCATGCAGAAGCACATGAAGGGCCACAAGCCCGAGGAGATCCCGCCTGACTGGAGGATAGAGAAGACTTACCTCTACCTGTGCTACGTGTGAAGCCAGGCCAGGCAGGGCCAGAGAAGCGGGATTGAGAAGAGAAGAGTTAGAGCAGGATGAAGTCAAGGAAGGATTGTGCGCGCGCGCGCACACACACACACACACACACACACAAATATATATATATATATATATGTATAAGGAAAAAAAGAAGAAAAAGGAAACGTGATAGATGTCTAGCCTTGGATTCTCTCTGGGGCTCCAGGTGACTTGGATGCCTGGCTGGCCACAGCCCCTTCCTGGGGCCTCCACCCTCCTCTTCTGGCTGGAGGTTGACCTGATTTTTTTGAGTGGGGTGGAAGTGGTTTTGTTCAGCTCAGATGGTGGTATGTGTATCTCTTCCCTCCACCCAGACCCTCTTTTTATGTCCAGAAATAGAGGCCAGGGAAAAGGTGAAGGGTGTTCTGATCAGAGCCAAACAGTTTCTGCCTCCTGTCCTCTCACTGACTCTCAGAAGAAGGAGGCTGGGGGCAGAAGGGGGGACCTCCAGAGGGTGGGGTCAGGCTGACACTCAAAGTGGCAGCTCTAGGTGGCTGGGGGGTGCATTAGAGTAGGAAGGGCTCTCCCCTTCCCATCACTCAGTTCATCCATTGTGTTCCTCTGCTCTTCCCCATCTGGGTGTCCCCTCATGGTCTTCAGGAGCCTCCCCCAGCACTTTGTCCATGCCTCCCCTTGACCCCTGTCCTCCAAGCCCAGGGAGTGCCCAGCCCCTGTGGATCGGGCAGGGTCTCCCTCCTCCGCCAGCTCCCTAGTCGGGAAGCTGTGTCTGACCCCAGAGCCCCACTCCCACCCTTAGCTTCTGAGAACACAAAACCAATAGAAAAGCCCACTCTTGGAAAGCCCTGTCCTGAGCGAGATTTCCTTGCCAAGCTGCTTTTGCTTCCCAGATGGGAAAACCTAACTAAATACATGCGATCCCACCACACAGATAGACACAAATCCCCACCACTCCGAGTTCAGTCCCTAGGAGAAGGAATCTGCGAAAGGGCTCGTTGTCCAAGGGGAGGACGGGGATGTCCTCCAGAGGTGCCCCCCACCTGGAAAAGGGGGCATCTGCCCAGGAGTCAGGGTACTGGCCAAGGGAGGGCTCCGTGGAGTCACTCTGACAACCTTTGAAGCACCCAGACCTGGTGAGCTCAATGGGAAACCCAGATGGTCAGAGTGGCCCAGAATTCTGGGCTCACAGTGCCCTCCCCCCAATTCCACAGGGAGGAGGAAGAGGAAAAGTTGTTGAAAGCGCTTTGGCCTTGTGTTCTTTTCTGTGTCCCCAGTTCCCCTGTTAGCACATTGTACTTGAATTACCTCAGTTTTTTGTGACCTCATGAGCTTTTGTAACCCCTGTATCTCTTTTTTGGTTGGGGGTTGGAGGAATGGGGAGGGTGTTCTTTTCTGTTTCTTGTGTAAAGTAATAGTTGGTTTAATACCCGTCAGCTGGCCAAGGCCCTCCCTGCCGGAGCACTGGAAGGAGCTGTACCGAAGGAATGAGTGCTCAGGATCTGAACGTGGGGGCCGGGTCAGCAGCATTTGGGGGAAGAGTGGTATATTGGGGACCTTTGGAGTAACTGTTGGCTCTGCCCAGGGCATGAGCTCATCATGGCCAGCATCGGTTCAGCCTACAACACTCTGGACAAGATCCCCCTTTCTGATAATTGGCTGGGTCAGTCAGGTCTGGGGGCCTGTGTTGCTCACATCTTTTTGACTGTGTGGCCCCACCTTTGTGTGCATTATCATTACCAAAATTGGTCTATTTTCCTGGCTGCTGTGTGCTGTGCCGGTCTTGGTTTTGTTGCTTTGGGATGGTGGTGTTGTTTTTCTGAAAGCTACCTCTTACGTTTGTCCAGTTCTTTTGTCCCCTTTCTGCCTCTTGTTCTGCTGCTCTGCTCCCTTCTCCCCAGCCTCCCCGCCCTGATTCTGGGAAAGCACATTTGCAATATTTGTGTTCACTGTGGGATGGCCCTCTGTTTCATCTCATGCTTTATTTGTAGAAGTATTTTTTCTTTCCTTTCTCTCTGAGAAAGTTGTGGCTGCGTTTTTATCTTAGGTTTTAAGAAAGTGGTTTAGGGAAGTGGTTTGGGGGAGAAGGGTTATGAGGAATATAGGGAAGTCAGAGGGATGGGTGCTGCTGTGACCGCCCCCCACCCCATCCCTCGGCCCCATCCCTCCTGCCTGCCCTGCAGTCTTGCCCACCAAATCTGAAGGCCTTAAAAACTGTGTTGGGGGTATATTAATTGGGGGGACTGTGTCGCTAGACTGTTGATTGGGGGTGATAAAGTAGGGAGGATGCTATTTTGCAATTATAATAATGACTTAGTGCTTTGGAAAGGAAAAAACAGTTAAACTTGAAATATGTGACTAGAGCAGTTGTTGTGTTTATAATGTGAAAAGTGAAATCTTTAGGGGGAGGAGCCATCTGTAAGAAATCATTATGCACTATTGTTTCCTCCCCCGACCTGGGAAGAACCGGGGACTGGCTGGCCCTCAGGGGATCTGTAAATCCCAGAAAACAGTACTTTAACAGCAAGATGTCACTCAACTTTGGTGGGGAAGGGGGTCAGGGAATCAAACTATTCCGTAGACCTAGCTGACACCTCTCCCTGTTCCCGGACCCTTCCCCTGCAGCCCAGGTCTCCTCCCCTGCTCATCAAAGCTGAGAGGGTTGAGCTAATCTTTAGAAATTGTAATATTTTTGTAACGTTTGTTAGTTCCTGTGTCAGTTCTACAGGACCTTGCCCTTTCATTTTGTAATGTGAATAGGAAAAAAACAAAAAAGACAAAAAAATACCTACCACCACCCACAGGAAGATGCCCCTTTGTGTGTGTGTATGCGTGTGTACTATTCGTGTGCTGTTGTGTGTTAAATCATGCAGTATTGTTGTAGTCAGCTGTTGCAGCATTGGATGGTACTAAATCAGCACCTGTCTGTCCCTACTGTCCCTGAGGGAATCCTAGCAGGGAGGCGGGAGAGAAGGTCAGGATGCAGTTTCTGAAGGATACTGGAGGGGAGACTTCTTATATCTATACTTGCTTTATTCTCCCCTGCGCCCCCATGAAGCCTCAGGCACCCTGAATAGAGGCCAACATGCCTCTTTTTCAGCTTCCTACTCACAAATACAATTCTGACCTTGCCAAGGCCTTCTTGGCCAGGCCTAATGGCCACGGTGAGGGTCAGAAATTATCTGGAGGCTTTAGATGTGTCTGGATAAAAGGGGCTGGGGAGACGAGGAGGGTAGAGGCTGCCCTCCCCGCAGGTGAAATCTGAGTGGTTTTACTCCCCTCTTCCTGCCATCTGACCCCTGGGCTACCCCACTGCCTTTAGCTGTGGTACTGCTGACAACCCTACTCACTACTGCCTTATCCAGCATTTCAAAATGTCTCCTGTCTGTGTCCCTTGATTCTTTTGGTGACATTTACTCCTCACTCATGTGCTTTTTCCCTATTCACTCCTTCACTCATTCAAAGCATTAAAATCCTATGTGTGTATATAGGATAGACAGATTTTTTATATATATATATATAGTGAGATATATATATATAGCAAGAGAGATATAAAATAGTAATTATCATTGCTGCTTTGGAGGAGGCCACGGATATGAGGAAGGTAGATCTGGGGTGCCGGGGTGGGTAGGGAAGCTGGGGGACCCAGTGATTCAGTACAATCCAGGGATGCAATGTGGGCTTGTTTAATCTTTGTGCCTGACCAGTTTTCCATGTTTAGGAAAAAAAAACAAACTGCTGCAGTTTTTCACAGGTGTATGGTACCTACCCTTCAGGATGCTGTTGGTACAGCCACCTGCCGGGTGTTGAGGCCTGGGAGGGAGAAGGCCCTTTGGGTTACCTCCTTCCAGGGGAGTGAGCAGCCGTGGGGGTGGCCTCTGGACTCTACCTGTGATGGAGGACAAGGGGCAGATTTGTGGCCAGTTCCTTGCAAGCCCAATAAGAGTGAAAGCTGGGGGCACCGGATGTAAAACAGAAAAGCAGGAAAAGATCAGACTGTTTGTTCATTTTTCCTGGGCCTATGTTACATTTTTTTTCTCCCCTCCCATCTTGTTTCCTCTTTCCTGGAGCTTCATGGTGGCACTTACCTGGGTATTTCAGTAGGCGGTAAAAAAGCCCGACTAGCCCTTCACAGAGAAACTGATGGGTGGAGGGAAAAGGCAGAGCCGGCCGGGAGAGGGGTGGGAGACAGACCAGGGAGGTTGGAGGTGGATGTTGGTGGGGAAGGGGAGGGGAAAAGGGGGATGGGCCCTACAGGCCTGTTAGCCAGCAGTGCTGCCTCCCTGAGTCCTTGGCGTCCCACTTGTAGACAGGGTACCTGCCTCCTGGTGTGTGTCCTAGAATTTGTCCACATAGTGTTATGCATGATCTTTGTAAGGTTAAGAAGCTGTGGTGGTGCACCCTGACATCCGACCCATATATATAAAGATAAAAAAAGTATATATATATATATATGTATGTAAATTATAGCACTGAGGGCCTTGCTGCCCTGCTGGACCAAGCAAACTAAGCCTATTGGTTTGGGTATTTTATTTTGTTTTGTTACTTGTTTTTGTGGCTTGTCTTACGTTGTGACAGCACAAGTGCCAGTCCGGTTGCTCTGTATTACAGACAGTGTTTTTAATTAATTGATGTTCTAGTTCATGTCTACCTCAGCACCTCCTCTTAGCCTAATTTTAGGAGGTTGCCCAATTTTGTTTCTTCAATTTTACTGGTTACTTTTTTGTACAAATTCTCTCTCTCTCTCTCTCTCTCTCTCTCTCTCTCTCACACCCTCGCCCCTCTCCCCACTCTGTCCCTCTTCCCCTTCCCCCTTCTCATGTCTGTTTGTTCCTTTTTCTCTCCCCCCCCCCCCCCCCCGTCACCCTCTCCTGTCCGTGACACAGCCCGGTGACCCTCAAGTTGTGCTTGCCAGTCCTATCTGTCCTGGTCCCCAAGCAATTCCCTCAAAGTTGTACGGTCCTGATTGCAGCTTTCTGCATCTGCCTTCGTTTCGTGTAGATTGATGCGTTTCTTTGTAATTTCAGTGTTCTGACAAGATTTAAAAAGAAAAAAAAAAGTAAAAATGAATTTACTGCTGCAGGTTTTTTTCTCCATGTGTCACTAAGTGAAGTTTGTGCCTTCTATAGCAAAGAGAATATTTTTTACATCCTACTAACAGTAGATTTTTTTGTAGTGAACATTTTTTGTATTTTTATTTATAAGTCTCATAAGAAAAATAGCAATGTTCAGTTGTATACCTTGAATCTGCAGTTAGAAGAGAATAAAGTTAATTCAGTTGTCTCTGGCTTGAAGTGTCCCCATTTTTAAAACCTGGTTTGTCTCTTCTGCCTTTTCTTGGGTGGGGAACACCCTAGAGGAACTGGGATTTCTGTCTGGGGAGGGGGAAGAGAAAGCTGTGGATTACACACAGTCAGCCTTATTATGTGTTACTTTTATGCCATATTTACCAGGCACACACCCACTCCATGACGTATTTTTCTAGTCTTAAAAAAAAAATAGTGTTGGCCCTTGACGAGGTATCTTGGTTAGTTAGAGTATCATCTTAATACACCAAGGTTGTGGGTTCAATCCCCGGTCAGGGCACATACAAGAATCAACCAATGAATGCATAGGGAAATGGAACAGCAGGTTGATACTTCTGTCTGTCTGTCTCTCTCACATGCACATGGACATGCACATACAAATCAATAAAATTTTTAAAAGATTTTATTTTTTAGAGAAGGGGGAAAGGAGGGAGAAAGAGGGAGAGAAATATCAGTGTGTGTTTGCCTCTTGCACAACCCCCTGCTGGGGACCTGGCCTTCCCAGGCACGTGCCCTGATGGGGAATCGAACTAGCAACCTTTTGGATCACAGGCCAACATTCAGTCTACTGAGCCATACCAGCCAGGGCGTAAAGTCAATAAAAATTGTTTGATAGTGTTACATACAGTACTATCATTTGGTCCTTGGTACAATACAATGCATGAAGTAGGCACTGGTTCATTTATTCCTTTAACACAGGTATTCATTAAGTTGGACCAGTTACTGGTGGAGGCCTTGGACACACAACTGGGACAAAACAGATGGACCCCTCCCCTCAGGAGGGTGACATTCTAGTTAGCCACTAAGTCAAAATCTGTTTCCTTAGGTTATTACTTGCTGGGGATCACACAGCTGGTAAGTAGGAGAGTCAGAGCTTGTAACCAAATCTGATGCCAAATTAGATTAGTTTTCCCAGGACTCCAACCAGAGGCAAGGCTGTCTTCTGTCTGGTATTTATTAATAGAGACATTTTTAACTTTTTAGCTTAAGCAAGCTTCAGAAATTAGTCAACAAAAAGCTGCCACCCAGTTTAAGGTCCCTGGGTCAGTGGCAGCCAAACTCTGGAGAAAGGAGATTGGAACAGGTGGGAGGTGGAGGCGCATGCCCAGTGTCGCCATTAGGAGAACGCAGCACTCACACAGACCTCGGTGGGCACCGTTCCCTCCCATCTCCTCTCCTGTCTCTGGGCCAAGGCTTCCTCTCTAGGCCTTTCTTCTTTCCTCTCACTGTGGATGTGGGCTTTGCTCTGGTTGTCTGGAGTTGGAAAACCAATTCCACCCAATCCCAGATGTGCTGGCTCAGTGCCTCTGTCCGAAGCCATCCTGCCTGCCCTGCTCTGACCAAAGTAATCCATCTGCTCACTAATACCTGGGGGCACAGCTCTGATGGCTGCAGGGGCCTTCCTAGGGTGGTAAACAAGGCTCAAGGGCTAGCCTGACCTGCGTTACTGGAAGTCACAGGGAGCCATGGCTCAGCACCCTTGTTGACATGGCAGCCTGTGAGGAAAGGCCCGTTCTTTGCCTCCCCTGCCTGCGCTGGGCATGGACTGGAAGAGCAGCCTTTCAGCCTCCTCGGTCCCTGAGGGGCTGAGGTCCAGGGTCTGCAGGGCCCTGGGGTCCCTGAGTGGAGAACTACCTGCGGCTAGGCCTACCGCCCTGGAAGCCCTTTCCCAGGAGCAGCATATCAGGGCACACTCCCAGCCCCTCTAATCCTGCTGGCTTTTCTGTCTTGTCTTTCCTTTTCTCCTCTCTTCTCTTTAATTTTTCCTTCCCTTCATCTCTCTTTTTTCCTTTCACCTCATCTTTCTTCTCTCTCCATTCCTGTCTCCTCTCTCATTATTTGTTTTTGTCTTTTCCTTTGTGTCTCTGTCCCACATTCTTGTTTTCTCTCCCCATATTTCTCATCTTGGAAAACTGTCCGCCAAAATTAAATTTGGTTTGATTTTGAGCCTCTGTCTCCATTCCTCCAAGCCAGCCAGCTATCCATCCATCCATCCATCCCCTTTCTTCTCTGGGTCCTACTCATTCCCCAGGCCTCACACCTCCTCCTCCGTGGGTCTCCCTTCTACTATAGGCCTCTCCACCCCTCCCCCACGTCCCCTCCCCACTCAGGCCTCAGCTTTCTCTTGACAGATGGGAGGGCAGTGAGCACTCCCTCTTTAAAACAACATTTAATCACCGTTTTCTGTTCTCGGACATCAAAGCTGGGGCTTAGGCGCTGCGCTGGGGTCGCTGTGGTGCAGCCTCTGGGGGAGAGGAGGTGAGTGAATAGGGGCCAGGCTGAATGGGCTTTGTGTGGCCGTCAGGGTCTGCCTGCTTTACATGCTCTTTGACCCAGATATGATCTCATGGAGAGAAAGGGGCCCTGGCCGGGCCAGCCTGAGAATGCTCCTCGGTCTGACTCCATCCACTTCCCTCCCTCCTGAGCCCAGGCCGCAGCTGCCCTCTGCCCCAGCCCTGCAGCAGCGGGCAGCCTCCTCCAGGGCAGGGCTTGCCAGAGGGGCACTCTGCTGGGGTCAGCAGAGGGGTCAGGCAGCCGGGGGAGGGGCTGCATTCTTCCAGAATTTGTTTCCAGGGATATTAGGTGGGAGCCCCCCCATGCACAATGTCCCTTCTGGCCAGGGCTGCTTGGGTTCAGGTGGGCACTTGGGTCCCACCATATTTTCCTTAACAGCTCTCCTTCCAGCCAGTCTAACATGTTCCCCTGTGACCAAAGGTGGGAGCCAGCAGAGACCTGCTAAAGGCTTGAGGAAGATGTGAGAAGAGGGACATGTGGCACTAAGTCCAAGGTCATGGCCTGCTCCATCCAGCTCAACATTGCCAGACTCCTCACCAGGCTGTGGGGGAGCCCCAGAGCCCCCCCATTAGGGGGAGAGAGAACTGAGGAGCATGAACTCCAGCTCTCTGCCAACCTCCATTCCAGCCTTTGCTGCCTCTCTGCAGCCAAAGGGGTTTTCCAAAAATGCAAATAGCATCATGTCATTCCTTTGAGTAAAGGCCAGAGTGGCTCCTCATTACTCTTAGGATGAAATTCGAACTCCTTAACAAGGTTCACAAGACCCTTGGTGATAGAGCCCCTGTGCTCACCCCTCCACCCAGCCTTGTCTCAGAATCACCTACATGTCCCTTGGCCACCGCCCACTCTATGCTTCTGACAACTGGACCGCAGATGATTTCTGGAAGACACGCAGATCTGCCCCACTGTGGACATATGCTGTGTCCTCTTGTGGGAATGGCACCAATACATGCGCTCACTTCCCTTCTGCCTGGTTATCGCAACTTCTCACTATTCAGGTCTCAGCTCAAACCATACCTCTCTCAGGAAAACTTCCATAGCCACTGAGCTGGCCTGGGGTCTCCTGTGCAGAGCCTCTGTGGTATCATTCACTGTAGTGCACATAACCACCTGCTCTCTCAACTATTATCATTACCCGAACTTTAAGCTTTCTGTGGGCAAGAATTCTGTGTTGATTATCTTCCTGTTCCCAGATCCTAATGCTGTTTTGCACATGGTATGCACCCAATAAATCTCTGTTGAATAAACGAATGAAAGAAAGGGTGGGGGGTAGGTGGGAAGGAGAGAAGGAGAGAGGCAATTAGCATCTGGGGCTGAGGCTGCAGTTGCCGAAGATGGGTGAAGCCAGGTAATCCTGTGCCCATCACCTGGCCCCCCCCCCCAGGCACCTTCGCGTACATGCATGTCACCAACTGCACAGAGACTGCAGTAGAGGTGCTCCTGCAGTCCATAGAGACACCTGAACTGTGTTTGCCATGTGCAAAGGGAGGAGCAGCCAGCCCAGGACAGCGCACATCACAGGCAGGGCCCCGCCTGGACATCGCTGTATGTGTGCATTTGTGCACGTGCACTCATGCATGTAGACACCAAGATGGGCAGTGGTCCCCCAGCAATCTCTAATTCTGGGCCCATCCTCCTCACTCCCAGGCCTTGGCCCTCCTGGGCTGGTAGGAGGGCGAGCTCCTCTCTGGGCTGTGTTCTCTGCTCTCCGGGGGGTGCCTCAGTGAAAGTGAACTCACTCATTTAAACCTGACTCTCCGCCCTGCAGCCCCCTGCAGTGCTAATTACCCTGTAGTTCTAAACTGATTGCAGTACCCTAAGCTTAAGCCCTCCTTTATTTATTTACTGACTACATTAATAGCAAAGCCACTGCTTTCAGCTGCTCCCAACTGTATGCTGGCTGGCTGCACCCCGTTCCTCTGCACGTCCCCAGGGAGCTGGGTACAGAGAGGTAGCCTGGCATAGACTCCCCCAAGTCTGCCACCCTCCCTGAGTCCCTGGGACCAGACAACAATGAGAAAATCATTGCCTTTGTCCACACATACTCCAGACCCAAGGGAGGGGGCTCCTTCCCTGCTTCTGACTCTTCAGTAGAGCAGGAGCACACAACACACTCCAGTTCACCCACCTGAAGGCTCCCTTCAGCTTTCACACCTCCTGTGAGGTGCTGAGCACCAGCCACATTTTACAGATGGGTACACTGAGACTGTGACCCTGGAGCTATCAGTGCTGACAGCGAGACTTGGAGCAAGACTGAATTCCAGCCAGCTCTGTTCTTTCCTCTCCGCATGCTGCCTGTCAAAGAGATGTCCTCCCCTCTCCTGGCCCCCACTCACCCAGGTCCACCAATCTCCTTTCAGTTGTATGTTCTCAGAGCTTCCACTCCTTGCCACGAGGAAGGAAGTCCTGTGTTGAATCAAAACCTCTGTTTCCCAGTTTTTTCTGCCTCATTCACATGCTTGCCCAGAATTTGCTAGTAATTCAGGCACTAGAACCTTTCCTTCATACTCAGTGGCCTTTCCCCAGGGCAGACCTAAGTCAAACCTTAGCCACTCCCCTACCTTCCTCCACCACTCATACCTGGGCAAGTCTGGGGAGTAGAGGCCAGCTTCAGGCTTCCTGGTTATAGTGTCCTGCCTGTTCTCTTATCCCGGGGTGCATTCGTGCCCAAGACCAGGCACTGCTTACTTCTCTAAGTGCCCTCCTGTCCCATGGTAAAGGGCCCTCAACTTAGGGCATGGCAGCTTTCCAAAGACCAGCTGGACACCATCAAGGATGCAGCATATGGACCCATGGAATCGAGTGCCCAGGCCCTCCTCTGATTTGGTGGTTGCTGTACTGGGCCACCCCAAGGAAGGGGGGCAGTTGGGGTCTGACAGAAAGAACCTAGGGTTCACAGTCAAGATGACCTTGGTCTGAGGTCGTCTCTGCCATTTACTGTGTGACCTTGGCTACATCTCAAAATCACTCCAAGGTTTCATTGCCTCCACTGTAAAATGGGGCACAGTAATGCCTGCCCCTTATACCTTCAGGACAATCATCAACTGAGGTGTAAGGCACAAGAATCAGCTTTCTAAATGCCACGGTGCTATAAAAATGAAAGTTATAAATGGAGGGCAGCTCAGGGGTGGCCTGGGAGAGGAGCTAATGGCCAAGACATTCATTTCCAGGGCAAGAGCCCCCCATGGCCAGAGCCCAGGAACCTGGGCTGGCATCACTGGGACTCTGTCACCACCTACTGGGTACGGAGGTGCTGCAGGTGCTCCTGCTACTCAACCAGATCTGGAAAGTGACTGGGAAGGCATGTGGTTCATATTGGTTCCCTTCTATACCAGATCAAGCTGGACAAGGGGAGAATATGGTCCAGATTTATGCCAGAGAAAAAAGGCCTTAAACTACGTGGTAGAAAGTTCGGTTGGACTTTCCAGAAGTCTCCTGAGTTAACATTTCTATCCTGACCTTTTTCTCCTACCTTTCCCCCCACCAACAAGCTGGCCATGGCAAATCCCACTTCTCCCATCCCCAAAAGGCTGGATTGGGAGCTGCTGTCAGCCAGCCCCGACTCCAGGGATCCATGGGGCCTCCTCTTACACAGGGAAGGTCAACCTCAGATGGAATGTAGCTCCTCAAAAGCTCTGCCGCTGGGAGAGAAGCAGGCTGACCAAGGAAGGGTTGCACCGAAGGCCTCAGTGTCGCTCACCGAGGGCCTGAGAGGTGACCACAAGGGGGCTGGTGGCAATGGGACAACTCTTACCTCTGGAGGATCTTCTGAGAGTCTAGAAAAGCCATAATGGAAGGTTTCTAAAATCAGCTCTTGCCTGGAAATAGAACTGCCTTTCTAATGCAGTGCCTGTCCCCAAACCCTCCACAGTCCCAGTGTGGCTGGTTAACAGCTGAAGGCTCAAGTTAACACCTGAATTCTCTGGGAGACAGTGGATTATACAGTCCCTTGGGCATCTGGGTCTAAGGATTGTTTGACTGGAAATGATCCTAAAATGGTTCATTTTGTCCCTCTTTTGGCCTTTTGGTACCTTCAGCCATCTCTAATGGGTTCAACTAAAAGGTTTGGAAGGCCCTTCTGAAGATTGAGCTTCTAAGATTCCATGACTCTCGCCAATTGTAAAGATTCTCAGAGCAAAAAAAAAAAAAAAAAATGCCTCTGGCTCCATAGCACCTCTTAGCACTTCTTTGAAAAGCAACGTTTCGCCTTGTTTCTCTCCCCAAGATCACTGTGGTCTTCTGCTTAGAGTGAGCTTCTAGTGACACTAGGTGGTGAGAAAGGGAAATGCATGCATGATGGGCCGAAGAAGGAAGGTGCTTTCCCTAATAAAACCCCCATTTGGGAAGGTAGGAAGTCACAAAATTGCAGGAGCAGAGTAGGGGGTGGGAGAGGATGAATCTCATAAGTTTGATTTGACTGATAATCACCTTATTGTCAGAAATCTCTTGCCAATTAGCTTTCCTCCCTAACATCCTATCCCAAGCACCAGTACTTGACCTTTGCCTCAGAGCACAGCTGAGAGCAGGCTGGATTAAATTCGCTTTCTCTGGTATCAAGGACAACAAAAGAAAATAAGCACCAAGAACAACGGGCCTCTGGTCAAGATGGTGACACAGGCAGACAAGGGTCGCCTCTTCACACAAGCACATCAAAACTACAACTAAAATACGAGCAACCTTCACTCAGCAACGTCAGGAATCAAGTTGAATAGAAGTCTGACAACTATGTAACTGAAGAAACCACATCCATCCAGACTGGTAGGAGGGGCACCGAACACGCTGGCCCTGCACCCACATGGATAAGAATAGCAGGAGGGGT